CATCTGCTGACCAAAAGGGTACTTGAATATAATTGCACCTTAACATTTGGTTGTTTCCACCTGAAAGACTACCAAAGATGTGGGAACGGAAGGCTATCACTTTCATTGTTATCCGCAATTTACATTTAAGACGAAACTTCATTTACATGCGGGAAGATGAACGTAATAGAGTATAAAATGTTTGAGCTTAGGATGTTCGTGGTTCATTCCGACTCCGTTGAACCCAAGGTACTACATGTACTTTGTCACTTCTATGTTGCAATAAAAATCTTCATCGAGATCTTCATCGTCCTCATCATTTTTCTTACAGCATGGATGTTAATGGATAATCCAAGGCTGCTGTGTTGATGGGCATTAATTTAACTTTTACTCAAATTCAATTTATAGCCCGAAATTAGACCAAAATCTGCTAGCAAATCCAGCACCAGGGGACTGGAGGTGCCAGGGTCAGACACTTATAACAGAAGATCATCCACATATAAAGATAGCTTACAGTATGCTCCAACCCTCCCCTTTGTATGCCAGCCATTGCACTGGATCTTAGAGCAATTGCCAAAGGCTAAATGGCAATTGCAAACAGCAGGGGGAGAGTGGGCAGCCTTGTCTAGTCCCCATGGCAGAGCATGTTTTCCGCTCTATGGACGTGCGCTCCACTCAGTCGCTCTAACCGCCCAAGCAAACGCTCCGTTAATATTCCGCTCACGCTCAATGTAAACCAATTCCCGCTCAGATCCCGCTCCGTTCTGTAAAGAACAAATTTGCGTGCATTAGGCTATATTAGATTATAAATTACTGCTGCCTATATCTACCCTAGATTCTGAAGGACTACCTATTATTTCGGGTCAGTTTTTTATAATATTTTAATAGGCCTAAGTGGTGTAGGCTAATATCTTCTGTACTCTGTAGTTCTGTATTTAGGCCTATATGCAGCTGTGTGTTAGCTTAGGTCTACAGTTTAACTGAGATTATTTAATAACTACGGAGCTCCGAATTTCTACGACGTCAGCAGGTTTTATTATATTTTTTAATTTATTATTATTTATTAAATTTAAGCAATAATGATTTTAATAAGTAATTACGAAATATAATAATTTGTTCCACGATGTTATTATGGTATGTAACTAGCTCACCTTTTGCTGCAGCATGTTTGCATACATCTTCGTGCTTTCTGTAATCAATATGAATCTGTACTAACTTTAACAGTCTGCCCGCACTCACTCTCAGTTTCTTCTCCCTGCTCATTCTTAACTTTGATTTTTACTCATAAAAATGCCTATTAAAACGTGAATTATCCCAATAACAAGAATCTTTCTCATAAAGTAATTTCAGCGACAACAGGACAAACTGCAATGCTTTTTAATATTCTATAAAAGAAAGCCAATTTAAACTCCATTAAGGGTTCAATCCCTAACTGATTGGCAGCACCAGTGACCATTGGCAGCTGGCAGTCTGATTCTGGCAGGTCACGTGATCTGCCAGTGGATGGCTGCCTGGCGGCTGGAAGTCCACTGTCAGGAACCATTGATTTATGGCAGGGTTGAAGATTGAACCCCCACTCCGGCACTGAGCGTATTGAGTGAGCGGAGTGGAATCTTCAGAAAGGCACTCTGCGTTCTTAAGGAAATATTACCACTCCGCTCACATGCTCTGTCCCATGGCCAAGTAAGAAATAAACAGATTAGATATTATTTGTTCATACACAGGTCATGGGAGACGTGTATAAGAACCTAATCAAAACTATAAACTGATTAGGAAAACCAAATTTCCTCAATGTGTACAACAAATGCCTTCTCAGTATCCATGGAAATAACAAATTTTGGAGATTAATTTAAAAAAAGAAGAGTAAAGATTATTCAAAAGGCGTTTAATATTATCAAAAGAATGTCTATTTTTAATAAACCCTGCTTGGTCTGTGAAAATTATAATGGGAAGAACTGTCTCCAGATGTCTCGCTAAAACTTTAGCTAATAATTTCACATCTGATCAAAGTAAGGAGATGGGGCGATAGTTACTGCACGGAGAAGGATCGGTCCCACTTTATATTAAGTGGCCTTAACTATGTACTCACACTTAAATTAATCATTTGGTACTTTTGTACTTATATTTTAAAATGACCAGCATGTAATTACATATGTAATTAATTTCTGTAATTACATTTATAATTACACTGTTGACCCATCCCTTACACCTTAACCCACCCTTAAACCTACCCATACCACGAAACCGGTCCCTAACCTTACCCGTTTCCCACCTCAATAGCAGCAAAAGGGTTTTGCAGTACAATATGACCACAATAAGTACATTGTACTTATTTTATGCACGTACATGGTAGTTAAGGCCACTTAATATAATCTTTATCTTTCTTAAGAATAAGGGAAATAGCCTGCTGTAAAGAGGGAGGATACCCGAGCTGTAGGACTCATTAAACAGGTTATGCAAAAGAGGTGATCATTTTTCAGAGAATGTCTTTAAAAATTCTGCAGGAAATGCATTAGGCCCTGGGCATTTGCCATTCTGCAATCGACTAAGAGCAGTCAATTTCATTTAATGTACACTCTTAAAAATAAAGGTGCTTCACGATGCCATAGAAGAACCTTTTTGTCTAAATGGTTCCATAAAGAACCTTTAACATTTGAAGAACCTTTGTTTCACAAAAGGTATTGTGGTGAAAAAAGGTTCTTCAGATTACAAAAAGGTAAGAAAGAGACAGTTCTTTAAAGAACCTTTGACTGAATGGTTCTTTGTGGAACCAAAAATGGTTCTTCTATGGCATCGCTGTGAAGAGCCTTTTGAAGCACCTTTATTTTTAAGAGTGTAAGAGGGGCTACTAAATTTGAGGAGATATCAGGATAAATGCAAGGCACATTTAGGGAACTGAAAAAGTTATTGAATTGAACCTTCAGCGATGTATTACAGGGTATACATGGAGGCGTAAAAGTTTCTGAACTCATCATTAATAGTGGATTAACTGAAGACCCAATGGAAGTGGAAATTTGAGTAATGAGGTGCGAGACAGCAGACTGACAAGCAGTTTACTTGATCACCAAAATCATAATTGCAGTAAGTCTTCTGTTGAGCTTCAGTTGCCTCATTTGTATTAAGTAAATCAAACCCTGCCTTTGTGAGAAACTTAAAGTCTTGTAGTTTGTAGAATTAACACATTTAGACTGGAAATCTGCCAAAGTGTTAGAAAGATTATCTCTCCTTTCATTAGTCACTTTTCTCTTGTAAGCCAAATATGAAATAATTTCTCCCCTTAAATAAGCCTTACATGCCTCCCAAATCGTCTTCGCTAAAATGCCCAGGGAAATATTTGTGGAAATAAAAAAAGATCAATACGATCATTATTAACCGCTATAAAATCAGGATCATTGAGCAAGGAGATAAAATGCCAAGGAGACCGGGACAGGTCTGGTAAAGCCAGGTCAAATGTAACAGCAGCATGGTCTGAAATAACAATAGTATTACAAGTATGTGAGCTAACCAATGGAAGTAATTTATTATCAACCAGAAAATAATCTATATGGGAAAAAGAATGAGGGACAGGGGAGAGAACGGTTTTTTGATAGAATTAAAAAAAGCGGCAAACATCAGAAACTGCATATTGCTCCATAAATAGCAGAATAATCTTGCTGGATTTTGACTGAGCACAGGGCCTAGATGAGGAGCGGTCTAGAATGGGGTCTAAACAGCAATTAAATAAAACACCATAAACATGCATCACCATTTTGTTGTTTATTTGGCCACCAGTTTACATTATCAATTTCAATGCATTGCAATGGAATGCTTGGTCTCAAACATGTTGACTAATTTCAAAACCCAAATCCCTCCCAATAGAATTCCTAAACCCTCCCACTCTTTTAAGGGAGGGTTTAGGAACCCACCCCTGAAATTCACCCCTCCTAGAAAAATAAAGACAGACAACATGAGGGTTAACCAAATTACACACAACCCTGAACCCTGGTATAAGAAGGGAAAAAAAGACTGATTAAGTTGGTTACAAGCACACTTTCTACTCCCCGTCACACAGACCACTCAGATGTCATCAACTGGCATCATACCTCCAGGTGGAAAGAATCTTCCACTAAAGCGATGGAAAGCAGGAAGGGTATGGGACAGTTATGGTCCTTAAAAGATAAATCTTCATTTCAGTAACTGATATGGAATCTCTGATGGCACTAAATGAAGTGCAAAACAAGGTTTCAAATCATCCTCCCAGATGACCAGAAAGCTGAGAGGGCCAACTCTGCCCCAGGTAATTCAACAAGTGCGGTTTCTGGGCCCTTCTGTATGTAAGATTATAAACAAAAAAATAATAATAATTGAAATATAAAATTAAATAAAAGTGTAAACTTTTACAGCTTTAAAAAAATAATTCAGTAGCAGGTGTTAATTTGGAAAATAAGGAATATGAAAATGTGATTTGACTATTGAAACAGGGAAGGTTTGGTCTTGGCTAAGTTGTTCACACTGTAATAGCAGCCATTATAATTTCATGTCCACCCAATGGTGAATGACATAGCCCCTCTGCCCTGAAACGTCCACTCATTCATATCACAGATTTAAGGCAGAATAACTGGCTCCCCCCCCCCCCCCCCCCCCGCCCCCCCGCAAGCCCCGTCAACTAGCATTATACCTCCAGGGGGAAGGAATCTTCCACTAAAGTGATGGAAAGCAGGAAGGGTACGGGAGAGTTATTGTCCTTACAAGATGGTAAATCTTCATTTCAGTAACTGATATGGAATCTCTGATGGCACTGAATGAAGTGCAAAACAAGGTTTCAAATCATCATCCCACATCGGCAAACTCTGCCCCAGGTAATTCAACAAAAGTGCTGTTTCTGGGCCCTTCAGTATGGAAGCTAATAAAAAGAAAATAATTGAAATATAAAATTAAATAAAACAAGTTCTCCACTTTTACATCTTTAAAAAGGAATACGAAAATGTGGTTTGACTAATGAAACGGGGAAGGTACCTCAGTTTGGCGTCTGCTAAATTTTGTTCACACTGTAAGAGCAGCCCATTATTATAATTGTATTTCCACCCAAAGGTGAATGACATACAGCCCCCTCTGCCCTGAAATGTCCACTCATTCATATCACAGAATTAAGGCAGAATAACTGGCTTTCCCCCTCCTTCATCAGGAGAGTATTTCCAGTATTAAACTGCAAAATCTTAACACTGAGCCCCCGGATCACAAAAGGAGGCAGTGGGCAGGTATAAAGAGCAGTTCAACATTACCATTAGAATTAAACCTAAAAACCAAATACACTTTAATGCAAAAATAACTGTACAGTAAAACACTTCAAAAGAGAAAGTTGTGGGCAGAGAGGCACTTCTCTGGGCTGCAGATGGTTGGGTTGGACTGGTAATGACTACTGGCTGACAGAGGACCCTGTAACACCCAGTTGGATTAGTTAGGAAAAGCTTTAGTGTTCACAGACAGGGAGGTTTAAAGTGGAGGTGGTGGTGGTGGTGAAGGGGTTTGTCTTGCCTTTTCCTCCTGACTCTTATAATTCATCGTGTCCCTCTTCCACATCTGAATCACCCTCCTCTGCATCAAGATCCAGATCCTATGGAAAGAATGAGACGTTTTAGAATACATGTAAAAACAGACACATTTTAGTGCAACAGCAACAACTTGGATATTTGCTTACCAAAACAAATGTTTTCACACCAATCATAGTCATCCCTACCATAAAGCCATGTGTACTAGCATGACTCCAAATCAGCAAAACAAATCTGCCCTGTCACAAACATACCAGTAATCCCTGTTGCAAAGCAAGTGCAACCGACATGAGACGTTCAGAGGGCTGAGATGTGTTATCACCAGCGGTGTTCGGTTGCAAAGTCCTTTCCTCATAGCTGGGACTAGCTAATGTTGAGTGACTTAGTACAGTCAGTGGTGGTGGGGGCACTGGAAGGTAAACCGCTATAATAGTTGTGTTGGGTATTAGTGGCAATGATGGTGTTCTAAAATTAAACTTCCTAGAAGCATTTCTCTGGATGGATTTCTGTGGTCACACTTTGTGCCTAAACTGTGTGATAAACGCCAGAATCTTTAAGCCGAATGGTTAAGAATGAACAAAAATAAGTAGATAAAATAAAAATTGGCCATTGGTATAATATGATCTGGACATCAGTGAAGCCAGCAAGACAGCTTGGTAGGAAAGGATCCAGACTATAATGCGAGCAAGGAAACATTTCTAGAGAACAATTACTCCAGGACCAGTATTATACTCCTGCATTCTTTATGGATCAATATTAATTGATGCAGAGCAAACTGTTGGCAGAGACAATCATTGTACTTACAAAAAGAAATACTGATTATGTCCTAATGATAAAACTGTGAAAAGGTTTATCCTTTGTAACTTCTGAATCTTAAGCAGCAAAGGGTCATGCAGTAGGCAGTTATATTTTCAGACATTTCATTTGAGTGTCAGAAATTAAGGAAATCAGCATCAAGAATCTGAAAAATACACTGAAAACATAATTAATGTAAATGCTTGCATCTTATGTGCACACACATCTCCCTGAATCAAGCTAAAACTCCAAGGTTGGAGAAACTGGGCCACTTTAATGGAATCTGCATCACTCAGGTTCTTGGCAAGTGCCTGACTGACAGCTTTGCAGCAGGGTCTTTTACCCCCTGCAGAGGAGGACCAGAGACAGGAATGCCCATGAGATGGACAGCAAACAACTGCAGCTCCATAAGCAAACTCTTCAAGCTTACAACTAATAAGTCAACTATTGGTGAAGTATCAGCTTTAGGTCATTGCATTTTTTTTTTCTCAGTCATTTATGTGCACATGCATAACACTTCCAAAAGTTTTATTACTGAAGTAACATCAACTAAGCTTTTCAATTGAAATTATGGTATGGTATATTTATGGTATGAAAACTAACAATTCAATGAGTTAAACCAAATGATTAGAAAAAAAGTTAAATAGCAACCAAATTATACATACATCAGTTTCCTCGTCCTCATCTCGTGCTGGTGCACCACCTTCTTTTCCTCCGCTCTCTAAAAACTTTGTGAATCCATCTAGCGTTCTCTCACCATTGTAGTCTATTACCTATAGAAAGAGGGGGGGAACGAGAAGGAAAAAAACATTACTCATCCACCCATACTTTTCAAATGGGCATTTGTTTGCAAGAATCAGGAAACTGTACAAGACATCTTAGTAACTTGTTTATGGTGTCGGTCATAGCTGGGTGACCTTGCAAAACTGGGCTCTAGCCAAGATTCATCTTTAGAAGAAACTTATGGTAACCCATCACTCGTTTACCAACAACTAAATGGTGGTCTTCTGTCAACATGTCTTCTAATCAGTGCTCGGTTTCCTCAAAACATATGGACTATGGATGAGGTTTTAATTCTAGAATTAGATCCATGCAGCACCTCTAGAGCTCTCAGGATCTAGACAAGCAGTGAATTCATTGGGTCGGGACTGTCTTGCTTCCTTTGCACGTGTTGTGAGGCAAGCTATATCCGAGCATTTCTAAGTCTGTAGGCTAATTATTATCAGCAAATTACTTTGGAAAGGTGTTTTTTTTTTTTTTTTTTTGCTCAAGTCCAGTGACAGAGGTATAAAACCACATTTAAAGAATGGAAGACAGCTTCCTAAAATGCGTGTATATAGTAATATAATATCTACTAATCTCACGCGATGATCCAACTGTACTGATATACATGAAGTCAAAAAAAACAAAACATACTAAAAAAAAAAAAAATTTATATTATGATATTTACTAAACTTTATCGATAATTATTTATCAAGTTTCAACTTTGGGAACGTTTATAATTCAAATTGTGCACATCTATGATACTGGCTAAAACAACAACAATCAAAGAAGAATTGGAACAATAGGGAGAATGAGGCATCCTCGTTTGCTTTCTCCCATATAGAAGAGTTGACACCAATCATCACAATCCAGATTAAACCGTCTAGTGCATTAATAACATCAACTGAATACTCGGTATACAAAGAGAATTTAGGACTGGCTGATGTTGGAAAAAAACTCTGCCATTGTAATATTTGCCCAATGCATTCAGTTAAAAAGACATGTTTTGTGAGACAAATAATGATATTTAACCTTTTGTTTATATGCACCAATATATGAATACACCACCAAAAAATTATACACGGCAGTACATGGTAAATTTTGCTGTATATAACTGAAACCAAGTTACAAAACACCATGTGGGGACTTCATTTGAACTTAATACGGTTTTTGATACTAAACATTAAATCAGAGATGTTAAGAGTTGATACTGAAACACCTCCATAGGTTTTTTTTTTTTTGCATTGCTGCTTAAATCACAAAGCAGTGAATATATGAATATCATACATACGGCTGCAATGTGTATCGATGGTCGGACCACTGCAATTTATTCAACTTGTTTTTTTTTTATTCACATTACATTATGCTAAAATTACACCTTCTAAAACAGAAACAAACTGTCTCATAGCCTTACCTTACGGTCCTCGCCAGCAGGGAAGAACTTGAGTGTGGGGAAGCTATGCACTTTGACAGCTTCAATCTCATTGGCTGTGGAGTCCATCTTGGCCACAACAATGTTTGCGTTGTCTTTGAATTTCTCACCCAACTGATCCCAGATAGGGGCCAGCTGCTTACAGTGACCACACCATGGGGCATCTGGATAGGAAGAGCAAATGGAATGCATTACGATCACTTTGTATGATGAACAGACCAAAATTAGAGTAAATAAACTATTTAATTGGATAAAATCACTGGATTTGCATTTGGATCAAATATTCTTTTGTGTTCCATAGAAAGAAACCAAATGATTGGGTAAATGACAGAACTGTCATTTTTGAGTGAACTATGACTTTAATTAGACTACAATAGCTCTAGCAGCTGTTGCACTTGCTCTGCAAGACAGAAGTGATGTGCAACATGGATATAATCCTATAAAAATTTGATTACATGTTGTCTCATGTATGCTTGGACAGACATAGCTTGACTATTCAAAACCCCACTGGAGCTCAAATATAACTGCAAAGGTACAAGTAATCATTTATACTGGACATGAACAATAACCCCATCTATCCTTCAAGACCTTTATCCTTTATTAAAAAGTCAGTTATAGCCATGTTAAAAAAAAAAAAGCCCCTTACTTTTCTCATAGACGTGCTAGATTGGGAAGCGGTTTTGAAAAATGATCTCCGTATTTCTCGCTCATTCCCATTATAGCAAGTTTAAGAGTATATAGGAAAGAAATCTCTCCAAGTAAGTATCCTGTGGGTACCCGTACCAGGATTAGCAGTATGCTTTTGGACAGATACAGGAATCTTGTTTACAATGCCAGGCTATTGGAAGGGGCAATCAAGCTTTCAAAATAAATCAGGCAATATGCCAGGCAAAGTGATCTCTCAAAACACGAGGTCAGACATCTAACGGAAGGACAAGCAACATCCAAGACTACAGAACTTGCATCTAATGAAAAACATTTTTATATGGAGACAAAATACTTACAAAACTCCACAAAGACATTCTTTGCGGGGTCGAAGACAACCTCTTCAAAGTTTTTGCCCACCAAGACCTGGACAGGGTTCTTATCCCAGTCGTCAGGAATGTCCTGACTCATCAAATGAGGCTGAAAGACATCACAATCATTCAAAACACACACCAATAATTCCAAAAAGACAGAACACATTTTCTTTAAGTCATTTAAGTGCCAATTTTAAATCTACCGTAAAGACTAATTTCCATCACAGACATCGTTAAACCTAAACAAAGTTCTCAGCCACCTTCAGCTTTCCCTCCGTGAAGTCTGTGCAGAAGGCGATTATGTTCTCTGCTGTGATTTCTGAGGTTTCTGGTTTGTATTTGGTCATCTCTTCCTCTAGGGTAATGAGGCGGATTGTTGGGCACTCTTCTTTCTTAAGACCAAAGAACTCCAGAATTCGCTGATTATCATCCACATCACTGTCAATAAAGATGAAGAGAATCTGTGGAGAAAGAGAACGTTAAACTAACATACCCAGGAAACATATGGACACACAGTTAAAAAAAATAAAAATAAATAAAGAAAATTAAAATACCCACCTTGCCTTTGAAGCCCTCAGCTGCCTTTTTAAATTGGTCCATCTTGTCCTGGAAGTCTGTGGCTGTTTTGGGCACAAACATTAGGATGTGGGACTTGATTTCACCTCCAAAGATTTTTGGAGCAGTCTGCAAAGGAGAAATAAGAAACTCAGAAATCTATCGTTTCCCCTCGCAATGCATTACATTTTTCAATGAAAATAAATAGGCCAACTTGGGCCTTGTATGCAAAAGGTCAAACACAGATCTGTAATATCAATATACAACAAGAGCCACAAGTGTTGATAAAAAGTGTACCTGCTCTGTAAACTCAATGACCAGGGGAAGTTGGTTGGCCTTGATGAAGGCCAGTAGTTTTTCTTTGGCGATCTCTCCATCAAATGTATTGCGACCCTCATCAAACTGAAGAACGAACGCAAGAAAGATTCTCTTATTTAACTTCTATACACTGAATTTCTGTGTACATGGCAACAAAATTCACTGTAATTGAGTGTTAACTAGGGAACTATGCATCACTCAAGCATAGAAACGTGACCGCAACAGTTGTTGGCCATAGGGCAGTGAATATTCTAGATTCGACATGCAGTGGGCATTAATAGCACGCATAGAGAGAGCAGCTGCATTCTGGAATGAAATTCATTGCCCTTACTGCCTCAGAGTGTGTGTGTGTGTCTGGGCGCTAAGACACAGGAACCTCAAAGCCTCTTTAGGGACAAGGGTTAATCAGAAGTTTAGCCCATTGTGGATTATACATTTAAAAGAACATCCATCCACCCTGCTGAGAGAATTAATTATTTTAGGCCCATTCCTATAAAGGAACGTAGATTTCATCTTTATGGAAAAATTATTTTAATATGGATTCAGGATTCCTACATATTTAAACCAATGAATTTCCATGATACTTTAAACAATACAGATTACTTTCCTCATGTCTGATAAACACAATTTCAAACTTCCCTGATACCTCCAGGTTTTCATGAAGGTGTAGTGCCTGTGACCAGATCAGAGTGTCCAAATTACCACAAGACCTCATTTTGATGTGGAGCTCATCTAGCTCAGGAGTACTGCATCCGGTTGCTAATTATTGCACATTTTCTGAACGAAGAACCACTGAATACTTTAAAAGCGATAGTTCACCCAAAAATGCTCACCCTCAAGTAGTTCAAAACCCGTATAAATTTCTTTGTTCTGCCAAACAGAAAGGGAGATATTTTGAAGAAAGTTTGTAACCAGGCTGTTTTGGGGCACCATTGACTTCCATAGTATTTTTTTTTCTCCTATTTTCCTACTATGGAAGTCAATGGTGCCCCAGAACTGCTCTGGTTCCAACATTCTTCAGAATATCTTCCTTTGTGTTCTGCAGAACAAAGACATTAATACAGGTTTGAAAATACTTGAGGGTGAATCATGGCAGTGACACTACCAATCAAATATTTGGAATCAGGAAGATGTTATTAAAACATGTTTTTTTTAAAGAATATTGTTTTAGGAGTCTCCTAAAACAGGTTTACATGCATGCAAGGTCAAAAAACACATTAGTTTTCTCAAAAAATAGATTTAATTTTCTCATTTCTAAATTATTTGTAAACGACTCCTACGTACGAAGCAGTTCAAAGAATCAGTCTCTCTAAACCCCTCCTTTCCGTGAGCCCTCACTGCTGTGACTGGTCAGATGGTGCAGCCCTTTGTGATTGGTCCAGAGCCGTAGAGAGATTGGCTCTAGATTGGTCTACCGCGTACAGCACGGGTCGGAAACGGAACGCCCATTGCCATGACGGAATGACAGCCCTGGAGACTTGTCAATACATAGAAAAGATGGTATCGATTGTACCTTACCAATTTGAGCTGGAGTCTGATGATGAAACTGTTTAACTGGCTGATCGACAAGAGACTGATTCGCAGGCATGACGTTTCTTAGGTGGTAAGTGTCAAACGTTAACACGTTTGTGGTAATTATAAGATGTGATAAAACAAATTCTCACAGCATAGGATACAGCATCTTCTCGACATGTTAACCATGCGGAAATTTTACTGTTTGTGGGCGGGCAAGTTGGCGACATACAGGTACATCTCAAAATTAGAATATCATGAAAAAGGTCAATATTTTGTGTCACTCATTTCAGAAAGTGAAACCCATATATTATATAGATTCATTACACAGTGAAATATTTCAAGCCTTTATTTCTTGAAATTGACGATTATGGCTTACAGATCATGAAAACCCAAAATTCAGTGTCTCAGAAAATTTGAATATTACATAAGATCAATAAAAAGGATATTTTAAACAGAAATGTCAGGCTTCTGAAAAGCATGTTCATTTCTATGCACTCAATACTTGGTTGGGCCTCCTTTTGCGTGAATTACTGCATCAGTGTGGCGTGGAGGCAATCAGCCTGTGGCACTGCTCAGGTGTAATGGAAGCCAAGGTTGCTTTGATAGCGGCCTTCAGGTCATCTGCATTGTTGGGTCTGGTGTCTCATCTTCCTCTTGACAATACCCCATAGATTCTCTATGGGATTCAGGTCAGGCGAGTTTGCTGGCCAATCAAGAACAGTAACACCATGATCATGGAACCAGCTTTTGGTATCTTTGGCAGTGTGGGCAGGTGCCAAGTCCTGCTGGAAAATGAAATCAGCATCTCCATAAAGCTTGTCAGCAGAAGGAAGCATGAAG